GAACTTCTTACCTCTACTTTTGGAAATTCAGCCTTATCAGAAATTGTGTGAACTATCCCATGGACCACCTCCTCCACGGCATTATCCATCTGAAAACCAGCAATAAAAAGTTTTGTTAAGGGTCTGCAAATGAAAAGTTCTCAATACGCGTTTGGTTCTTGTAGCGACAACAGCCAAGATGTCTAACATCCAGATCTTCAAAAGCGCTGCTGCACTACTAATTTCCCAGTACGATCGAAGAAGCGGAAGGAGAGATGGGAAACCACTACGAAATAAATACATACATTTGTTATAAAACCATGGCCTTGGAATTTAGGAACAGTATGCTCTAATGCCAATTAAAGGGTGGAGTTGCTCTACGGACTCTCCTTTGCAAAGTGTGCAAAATGAAAGTCTCTCTTCTAACGATGCGGCTGCGCAGCGGTTTTTTGTCATTGGGTCACAGGTTCTCGCGCCATTCATCAGCTTGTCATTTTCATGGAAATTGAGGTTCGTTTAATTTCATGGTGACAGTCTTGTGGCTTGCAGTTGAAGATTGAGGTGTTGTTTTTAGGAATGCTGATGTTTCCGCACCTTTGCCGATTCAATGAGTCTCTGAGGGGGACACGTATTTCTCGATTTCGTCATATGTGCAAGCATTTGTCAACCTCTTCGCTGAGGTAGGTCCAATCAAACACAGTATTCTGTTGATTGTAAAATGGGGTTTTGCATTTTGCTATGTGACCTTCTTTGAATTCTTTTGTTAATCCAGTCAAGGAAAGAGCATGTGTAGGAGACAAGGTTTGGGTCGATATGAAATCAAATCAGTTTCACACTTTGAGTGCTCTGAAAGTCATTTTTGCATTTTGTTAAAGCAGACTGATGTTTAAGGGCCTCATCTATCGCGAGTTATTTTGCTGAGCTGAAGACTCGAGGGCTGGTGCGATTGGCGTATCCTTCAAATCTTGATACTGATTTCAATGCAGAGTTAAAGTAAGTAAATATTCACGCGTTCTTTCAATTCATGCACTGTGGAAACACACAAATGGTGGACATTCGTGGAAAAGAGAGTCGAAATAGAGATTATTATTCACGCACAACCGCCTTATATGAAATCCAAAGCGATAGGTATTTAGTCGAGATTTGGAGTTTGTCTCCTGCCGCCTACTTAACTGGTCTTTTTTGTAGGTTGTAGACCTACCGCCTTGTTGCTAGGCCGCGGTCATACTTTGCGACTACTCTTCCAAACTGAGTGTGGAGTAAAGGCGATCATGCGATCGCAGGATTTCAAGATCGGTACCTATCTACTTCCACCC